ATACACAATGAAAACTTTCTGCCAAAGAATTGTGCAACTGTAATGGAATTCTCTCACAAGGACCACATTACACATGTCAAGCTTGTGCACTACTCACACATAAAATTACAAAAATACCATTGGAATGACACATGTCATTTTAAACTGGATTTGTGACATGTTTAACATGTAACAAGGGTCTGTAATACAATGTACCTTCCTCAATGAATTTTAGCAGGGCTCACACATACTTAAAATTACAATACTACTTTAAGGTTACCGGAAATTATTAATACACACCAGAACTTGTAATGCATAACAGAAATGGACCTATGAGCATGCATTTGACATTATAAAGGCAAACCATGAATTAAAGGCTGGGACCAACAATCTCCCCCTTTTACCTTTTAATGTTAAAAGCTCAAAATAACTTCATCAAAATTTTTGCAGAAATAAGTGCATTGTACCAGAAAAATATCAACTGAAAACATAACTAAGGATATACATATCCTTATCTTAAGCCCATTTCTCCCTCTTTTTTGACATTGAAAGTCAAGGTGAGAGGGACCACCAATGAATAGGATCAGAAGAGGTAAGGCACAAACCTAAGAAGCTTTCTGAGGGTTGAAAATCTCTAAAGAAGTAGTGGTTTGGTCATGATATATGAAGTTGATGTTCTGTAGGAAGATAAATGATATCAATAAGCCTTTGTTTAACCTTTTTTTTTCTAAGAAAATGATACTTTATGTCAATGTGTTTGCTCTTGCAGTGCAAAGTAGGATTATTACTAATTGTAATGACACTTTGATTGTCACAATAAAGCTTTAGATGACCTGGAAAATGAAGACCAAGGTCTGAAAGTGTTGTTTTCACCCACAACAATTGAGAACTAGCTTATGAAGCAGTAATATACTCAGTTTCTGAGGTGGAAAGTGACATTGTAGGTTCTTTCTTGCTGAGCCAAGAGACTAAATTGGTGCCAAGAAGATAATAACAACTTGAAGTACTTTTCCTATTAGGCAAAGATCTACCCCAATCTGCATAAGAATAAGCAGTAATGGGAAGAGATGGAGAATGTATGTAGTGTAAACCATATGAGAGGGTTCATTTGAAATATTTGAAGATTTTCTTGGTTGCTTGAAGATGAGAAGTCCTTGGATTGCTTTGAAAGTTGGCCACTAATCCAACTGCATACATTATATTAGGCCTTAAAGCAGTAAGATAGAGCAACCTACCAATAATTGATCTATAAAGAGTATAAGGAACTGCTTCTGTGGAATAATCAGCCTGACGCTTTGTATTTGGACACATGGAGTGGAGATATCTTTACTCTCAGTCATATTAAACGTCTTAAGTAACCCAGTAACATACTTTTTTTAGAGATAAAGATACCGGTGGATGATTGATAAATTTGAAGGCCTAGAAAGTATCTTAAAAGGCCAAGCATGGGCATTTCAAACCTTATTTTCATGAGGTTTTTAAATTTAGAGGTCAAAGAAGAATTGGAAACACAGAACATGATATCATCAACATAAATTTGAAGAATAAGAAAGTGGTGTTGAGAAGACTTGACATAAAGTGTGCTATCTACTTTTCCTTTGTGAAATCCCTGAGCAATAAAAAAGTTGCAAAGCTTTCATACTAGGTTTTGGGAGTTTGTTTGAGACCATATGATGAGCGCTGAAAAATGCGTATTTAAACCCCTTAAGCTTAAGTATTTTAGTACCTTTATCTATCTTACGTTACCGTTTTAGATTAAGTTCGTATTATTTCCATTTTCAGGCACTTATCCCAAAAATAAGCTAACTCAGCCAAATAAGAGCTTAATTGAAGCAATTCTGGGATTAAACAAAGAAAGGAGCAAAGTGGAGAAAGAAGGAAGCAAATGAAGCCAAACGTGGGAAGCAGCAAAGTTCGATCGATCCAACTTCAAGGTTCGATCGATCGAATAATGATCGATCTCAGCACTTCAAGATAGATCCAAGCCTTGGCCCAAAAGCATAAAGTCCAAAAGTTTAATCGATCCAACACCAGCCTTCGATCGATCGAACACTTTTGTCCTTATTCAAATGATTAATCCTATCCACAGCTATACCACCCACTAACCACTTTTGTCCTTTTCCCAAAAATATCTCCCAAAATATCTTGGATTTGTCTTTTCCCAAAAAGCTCAACTAGTTGGATCGATCCAGCCTAAGTTCGATGGATCTCAGCCAGTTCGATCAATCCAAGTCCAAGGTTCGATCGATCGAACTTCCTCCAGTGCGAAAAAGTTAAATTTCCATCTTATTGAAAGTTATCCTTTATCCAATCATTAGGGAATATTGTGTACACAACCCCAGCTCATTTTGGGTGTCATTTGACCTACCTATATAAGGATAAGGATTGCTTTTTACAAGTAGGCTAATATCATTTTTTCATATCATCTCTTGGAGAGCAAGCTTAGAGGAGGAGGAGGTTAGAGACACCATTGAAGACTCTTCATCAACCAAGGAGCAAATCTCTTCCATGGAGTTAGCCCTTGAGGGTTGGAGCAACCTTACCATGAGTGGCTAGACATCCTCTTGGGCCTAGAGTTAGCCCCAAACATGCTTTTTATATCTTAATCTTGTGTATTATTGAGGGATTAGTGTTGTAATTAATGTTTTGACACTTTTACATATATGTATCTTGTTTATTCAATGATTTATGTGGTTTAATGCTTCCAATTGATCATTTCATTCTATCCATATGTCTATGTATGCTAGAATAGATGTTTATGTGCTTGTCTCTAGATTTTGTGATATTGATGCATGTCTATGTGTATTGATGCTATAAATTTGGAGATTGTCAAAACATAGTGCTTAAAGGAATGCTCTTGTGATTCTCTTGATGGTTCGTACTTATTCCTTGATGGATTGTGCCTCTCCCCTAGTTTATTTTCATGCTAGTGTAGATGTAGTATAGTTGTAGTGTAGTGTTAAATAGGAGGACAATCTATGCTTGTTGTTTAATGATCCAAGCTTTTGAATGCAAGTAGCATATGTCTCTAACTTTGTATTGTATTTGGATTGTGAGCTTAATGAAAGGATTAATGACTTGTTTTGATCTATTGTGTCTTTCACATGTTGTTTAGACAATATATACTTCATTGCTTAGATATATTGTGCCTTTCACATGATGTTTAGACAATACATGCTTAACTAGTCATCCTTGCTTGTTGAATCAACCAAACACACACTCACACCAATATTGCAACACACCATTTGCCCTCATTAGTCACTTGTCAATGGTATAGAAATGCATTGCTTGGTGGTGACCTCTAAACCCTATGATTTCTTTCTCTCTCTTACTTACCCTTTGTTACATTCAATTACTTAGTTTAATTTAGTTGCTCTCTAGTTTAATCAACCAACCAACCATTTGTTTGATCACTCGACCTACTAACCCTAATTGCGATTCCACAACCAAGTACGACTTCAATCCCTTGGGACGATCCCTACTCACCCTTGCTAATTTTTTAGTGAAGGTAGTAGTGACTTTTATAAATGTAAAACTCTTGGCCCTCGCCTTAAATTTCACACTCTTTAAGCTTATGGTAGGACGACGACTATCACCATATAAAGCTTAATTCAGTTTGTAAACATGAGTAGGAGACTGTGAATCTTCAAAACCCTTAGGTTTTTAATGTAAACTTCTTCAGAGAGATTACCATTGACAAAAGCTGACTTGGCATTCATTTGATAGACCTTGGCATGCTTATGAGAGGCAAATGATAACAACATTATAATGAATTCCATCATTGCCACTAGAGTAATGGTCTTATCATAATCAATAACATCTTGTTGTACATTGCCTTGACAAACTAGTCTGGCCTTGGTTCTGACAATTGTGCCTTTCTCATTCAACTTGTTTCTAAAAATTCACTTGGAGCCAATGACATTTTTGTTTTTTGTTCTGGGAACAAGAGTCTAAGTGTCATTCTTCTGGATTTGATCAAGTTATTATTTCATATCTTTAATCCAATCTTAATCATGCTCGGCTTCTGAGTAACTTTTTGGCTCAATGGAGGACAGCATTGCAAAATGACTGTATTCCTCATTTTCTTCCTATTCCAACTCAGTCAAATTCTTCTTGGCTCTGGTCTGAACACCTGTTTTGGGATAACCAATGATATTTTCAGTTTGAATATGCTTCTGAAGTGTGGGATGAGTATTTTCTTTGATAACTATAGGCTTAGAATGTGAAGTACTAGCTTCATTTGATTCTGGTGGAGGACACAACTTATCAGAGGCAGTGGATTAAGGACTTTCATTAAACTTTACATGAATAGACTCAACAATCTTGGAAGTTTTGAGATTATAACACCAGTAAGCCTTGCTTTAGGTTAAATACCCCAAAAAAATACCTTCATCAGATTTGGAATCAAACTTCCCCAAACCGTCTATATGATTTGGAATGAAACATCTACTCCCCAAAACCTTGACATAGTGGAATGTTGCAGGCCTTCCAAACCATAACTCAAATGGTTTTTTTATGGAATTTGGTCTGAGAAGCACCCTGTTGATAATATATACACTTGTTTTCAAAACTTTAGCTTAAAAACCTTTGGCTAAGCCCTTCTCAAGAAGTATAGTTCTTCTCATTTTGTTGAGGTGTTCTAACAACTAAGAACTCCTTCTTAATTCCTCTTACATCACAGAAGCTTTCAAACTCTCTTATTATGAACTTTGTACCAAAATCTGATATAAGTCTCTTGATACTATAACCTTTTTCATTTTCAACAAGATTTACAAACTTTATGAAGTGTGTGATGGCTTCAGAATTTTTTTTTTCAAAAAATAAATCCATGTCATTCTACTGAAATCATCAATTAAGAGCATGAAGTACTTATTTCCACTAATGCTTATAGTTTTCGTTGGTCCACAGATGATAAACACCGAATATTGAATATTCAAGTGCCCTTAATTGCATTATTTAGTCTATTTAGCATGTTAATAAAGTGTGTTTTATATACTTTTGTATTTATTTGTTATTTTCAGGGTTTATCTCCAAAATGGAGTAAACGCAAAATTTTAAAGGCTTTTAATGAACAAGGTACTTGGCGAGTTACGGAACCCGGCAAAATGGATTTAAAGTCTAAGATCATACTCAGCTTGAGAATGAAGTTAAGCCCAGAAAGCTAAGCAAGAAAGAGAAGTCAAATATGAAGGTCTCAGCCATGCGTCCAGATGCACTCTCCAAGTGCATTCCGGGCGTCCGGACGCCCCTCATAAACCATAACTAACAATTGAAGTTCTTAAGAAAAATTAAATTCCAGTAGCCAGCTAAAAATACATCCGGACAGCCAATGCCACCAGCCCTGCTAGCCAGCGCCCAGCGCTTGCCAAGAGAGCACCTAGACACTCAGTGTCCGGACGCCTTTCCTGGCGTCCGGACGCAAATCTGCGAAACTTTGAAATAATTTGAAATTTCAGTTACTTTTCGCTCTTTTTCCTATATGAATACACAATTTTATTGGGTTTTGAACTAATTTCTGCCATAGGGGGTTATATACACTTGTATAGAGTTGTATCACATATCATATATAATTGGAGAATTCGATTTTTATAAGTTCTAGAGAGAGAAAGTGAGGAATAGCTAGGGTTCTTGAGTGTTCTTGGGCATGGCTGCCATGGAGCTGAAGATGGAGGCTTCCTCTTCGACCATTGGGGCTTCTACCACCACCAGGATGAGCTAAATCCCATTATAGGGGATTGAGGTAGCCTCGATTAAGTAATCATGTAGTTTTGTAATTTAATTTAGGGAAAACTTTTGTATGTGATGAGTTTCATGAATAAAGATGATGATGTATTTTTCAATTTGTATATTTATATTGAATTGATTTACAATCTAGGCAGAATACTTATATATATAGGTATATACACCATGTAATTCTTGTCTTAGAAGCATGATTATATACTTATACTGTTAATATTTTTATATATGACAATGAAGATTGAGTTCATGAAATGGGATTATAGGCATGTTATAAATGAATTTAGATAGATTATGCCAAGGGAAGATGGACCATGCTACACCCCTAGATCAATGTAGTTAGGTAGATGGTCCATGCCAACCAAAGGTAGTCTATGCTAGAGAATTGGTTTCATGTGCTAAAACTTGTAATGTTAAGACCTTGATAGGCCATGCCTAGGGAAGATGGCTCATACCACACCCTAGTTTAGGTGTATGAGCCATGCCAAAGGCAAATTGGTTATGCTTAATCTTGAATTACCTGAATTTCTGGAAAATTATTGTGGTTGTTTTATACTTCTACACTTTAAACATCATACGTAACTGTATCCCCAAGTTATTTATAAGTATGCATGATTACGAGGTCTTGGTGAACTCAATTCCCTAGCCTCCCTTTAATTGTTTTTTTCTTTGAATTCAATTTACTTTTATTTAAATTTTTTTTATGCAACCGACAAACAAATAAACTCTTCAAACCATCTTTTGTGACATTAACAAACACAAAATTAGTCTTTGAAACTTAATTGTAATAAGTATCGCAATCTTCGTGGATCGATACCCCTATTTTGCCGCTTTCTTAGTGAATCCGTGCTAGTCGGTGGTTTTATTATTGACGCACCCTTAGTGAACGCATCAATTTTTGGCGCCGTTGCCGGGGATTGCAATCGGCTTTGTGATAAAAAAAATTTAAAAATTAAATTTAGTTTGTTCGTAAATATAATTTTTGTAGATATTTTTCTGTTTTTCATTTGTTTGCCAAGTGTTTTGAGTGCAGATTTGGCACGAAGGGGCTACTTTGGAGTTGTTTTTCAAGTGTTGAAAAATTTTGAAATTTTTTTTGAAATATTCGTGGATTCTCACCCCTTTGTAAGTGTTTTAAAGTTGATATCTAGTGCACTTAATTATTTGGTATTTTTGATTTCGTATAGATGCATGTTAGTTGATGTTGGGTCGTAGGTCTTTAACATTGCCTTATTGAAGAACAAGTTGACATAGTTTCATTAAAAATGACTCTTAGACAACATAAAAGGAATCTTAGGGATCCTAGAAATTTAAGAGAACTTGAAATTGAAATTAACAACATGTTTGAAAATGTGGAAAATGTTAGAGTTGAAAATGTTAGGGCTTACATTCCTAGAGTCAATAATGATGAAATTGCTAATGAAAATGTAGTACCCATGACTCTTAGAGATCATTTTATCCCCTCAACATATACATCTCCATCTTGCATTGTCATGCCGAATGTCGAAGCCTATCACTATGAAATCAAATCTAGCACAATCTAAATGCTTCCATCCTATCATGGATTTGATAATGAGGACCCTAAATCTGCTCTACCATCAAAATGAGGGACTTGCCTCAAAATGCTCTTCATATGCGTCTCTTCCCATTCTCTCTAAAAGATAGGGCAAAATATTGGTTGAACTCCCTTGTTACAAATACAATCACTACATGGGCCCAATTGCAACAAGAATTTCTCAAAAAGTACTATCGATTGGGTAAGACCAATCAAATTCGTCGTTCAATTCTTAGTTTCTCTCAAATAAATGGAGAACAATTCCATGAGACGTGTGAAAGATTCCAAAGCCTTATTAGGAAGTGTCCGCACCACCAAATTTCAAAAGGGCAATTAGTGCAAGCCTTCTATGATTCTATGATGGTTTAACCGAACCACATAGATAATTGATTGATCCTTCTTGTGGGGGCATGTTTATGTCCAAAAATGCAGATGAAGCATGGAATTTTCTTGAGAACATGAGTGACCATTCTATTCAAAATAGTTATCATGAAGCTCCTGCTTCTAGTGATGGGAAACCCTCAAATCCGCGCCAACCACGGACTTTAAGGGAAGAATCATCTCAAGTGGATGCCATAGCACATAAAGTTTTTCAATTAGTGGCACCACATCTCACCTCTTCTCAAAATTCTTCATCAAGTGCTATGTGTGCATCTTACTCAAACATTTTTCATCATGAAAAAGATTGCCCCACATCGGACAATTTTCTGGAGGTACGCAAGAGCAGGCTAATGTCGTGTTCTCTTGTCTTGGACATAATCCATACTCCAATACATACAATCCGGGATAGAGAGATCGTCCAAATTTTTCGTGGAGGCAACCAACCCCACAAAATTCAGCATTCTAAGGTCATGGGTAATCGAATCAATCTAATGCTTAAGCCATGAACCGGCTATTCCAAGCTTTTATAAGGTATCATCCTCCTCCATACAATCAAAGCTCTTTAAATACAAATTCTGCTCCTCTTCACCTATCTCAACTGAATGAGATATTGAACACCAACAAGCAAATCATGGCTGCCCTTAATGGCATGCAATCAACTGTGCAATTGGTTAATGCTCACTCCCAATCAATAGCTAAAATTGAAACCAATTGGGACAATTGGCTAATTCTTTGAATCAACTTTATAAAAGGGATATAGGTAAACTTCCAGCTCAAACAGTGGTAAACCCGAAATGGAAATTTATGATTGATGAACTCTCTCCTCCGAGCGAGCTACATCTTGAACAAGTCAATGCAATCACCACACTTTGAAGTGGAAGGGTTGTGTATAACAAGGTTGGGGAAGAGACTGAAATTCTTGCTCCCATGGATTCAAGTCCCCCCCAAAGATCCTAAAATCAGTCCAGAAATTCCTAATCCGCTAATCCTAAGTGTTGAGACATCTTACGAGCCCAAGGCTTCTTATCCTTAACGTCTAAAAGAATCTACTCACTTTGGGAACAAGGGCGACAAAATTCAGGATATGTTAGAAGTCTTTAGGCAAGTAAACATCAACATTCCTTTCCTCGATGCCACAAAACAAATTTCACCTTATACAAATTTCTTAAGGATTTGTATAGACAAAAACGTATTTCCAAAAGCAACATTCCTAAAATGGTGAGGTTGATTGAACAAGTGAGCGCTATCATTCAGCACAATACACCTCCAAAATTCAAGGATCCTGGAGCCCCGACAATTTCGTGTATCATTGGAGATAATGAGATTGAAAAGGCCTTCTTTGACTTATGAGCGAGTGTAAATTTGATTCCTTATTTAGTTTACTTGCAACTTGGCTTGGAAGAACTAAAACCCACTTCAGTTGTCTTGCAACTTGGGATAAATATGTTTAGCAACCTCATGGTATCATTGAAGATGTAATCATCAAGGTGGACAATTTTTAGTTTCCGTTATACTTCTTGGTTCTGGATACCAAACCGGTTCACCACCCTAAAAGACATATTCCCGTGATCTTTGGTCAGCCCTTCTTAGCCACGGCTAATGCTTTAATTGATTGCCAGACCGGGGTGATGGATATTTCTTTTGGGAATATGAAGGTTAAACTCAACATCTTCAATGCTTCTTTACATCCTCCGGATGAAGATGAGTGTTTCTCTCTTGACATCATATATGAAATGGTCGAAGAATCTCTCCCATTCATTCTAAGTCAAGACTCTCTTTAAATATGCTTGGCTCACTTTGGCTTTGAAGATTATGATATTGATCAATCAATTTGTGAAGTCAATTCTTTGCTTGAGACCAATGCAATTTCGGACTTTCCTCCATGGAAAGTACCCAAGGAACCTCTCCCATTAATTTTTAGCACTCCACCAATTCCATCATTGGAATCTCCACCTTAAATTGAGCTAAAGCCACTCCCGGTTAATCTCAAGTATGTATTTCTTGGTGTAAACAAAACTCTTCCGGTCATTATTGCATCGGATTTATCCAAAGACCAAGAAAACTACCTTTTAGTGGTGCTACAAGAGCAGAAAGAAGCTATTGGTTGGTAGGTGACTGATTTAAAAGGAATTGATCCCTCCATTTACATGTGTCGCGTTCATTTGGAGGAAAGACCACACATTCCTGAGAGGTGCAACGCTGATTAAATCCTAACATGTAGGAGGTTGTCAAAAAAGAGGTAATTAAGTTACTAGATGCGGGAATCATCTACCCCATCTCGGGTAGCAAGTGGGTAAACCCCACTCAAGTTGTTCTAAAGAAATCCGGCCTCACCTTTGTTGAAAATTCAGCAGGAGAGTTTGTGCCACAACGCACCACCACCGGGTGGCGTATATACATAGATTACCTGAAACTCAATTCTGCAACTAAAGATTATTTCCCACTTCCATTCATTGATTAAATCCTAGAAAGGCTAGCCGGCCAAAGTTACTATTATTTTCTTGATGGTTATTCCAATAATAACCAAGAGGCTGTAGATCCTCGTGATCAAGAGAAGACCACCTTCACTTGCCCTTTTGGAACCTTTTGCTTATCGTCGCATGCCCTTTGGGTTATGTAATGCACTAACCACTTTTCAGAGGTGCATGATGTTCATATTTTCTGATATGGTTGAAAATTTCCTTAAAGTGTTCATGGACGATATCTCCGTCTTTGGGCCATCATTCGAAAATTGTCTCCATAATCTCTCCCTCGTCCTAAAAAGGTGCAAAGAAACAAATCTAATTTTAAATTAGGAAAAGAGCCACTTCATGGTTCAAGAAGGAATTGTCTTATGACACATTGTTTTTAAAAGAGGGATTGAGGTCGATAAGACAAAAGTTGAATTAATTTCTAGCCTTCCTCCTCCCTCTTTGGTGAGACAAATTCGATCTTTTCTTGGCCATGCTGGTTTTTATCGGCGTTTCATCAAATATTTTAGCAAAATATCCCAGCTTTAATGCATTCTTCTTGCCAAAGACACTACTTTCAGCTTTGATGAAGCATGTTTGGAGGCTTTCAAAAAACTTCGTGCATTACTCTCTTCCGCCCCAATCATGAAACCACTTAATTGGTCTTTTCCCTTTGAGATCATGTGCAATGCATCCGATTATGCATTAGGTGCTGTTTTGGGCA